GTGCGGTAGTGCTGCTGGCTGTTCGGCGCAGTATGGCAGGATTGGACGAGTGAAGGATCCAACACAGGGTCAAGGTGCCGTCTGTAGCTTTGCCGCCAGGATCGCATTAGGCTCATTTGACCAGCCTCTCACGTCGGCTTTGCTCTAATTAGCTGGCATTCTTCCCTCCTGGTCCTCGCTCACTGGCCGGTCCATGCGCGCAAGAACTGCAGTTCACGGCAGGATCCGCTTGTCAGATCCCATCTGACACAGTTGACGGACAGCGAGGCTCACACTCATCACGATTGCACGACGAGATGCCACATGGAATCACCGACGACGACTCTGTGCCTCCAGTCTCCCATGCCAGGTGGCCTCCACGAGCGGCGTGGAGGGTGGGTATCAATGAGCCTCCGCAGTCCATTTCGAGCGCGCGTCTGTGCAGTCAATACATACACTGCCTCGTTGCGGGCTCCTCTGCGAGCGTCATAGCGACGAAGGCCTGGGCGCGACGAATGTGCCTGACTTCGTCGCTGTGTCTAAGCCTATTCGAGCATCTTGAAACCGCAGCATCGAGTGGATGGCGACGAAAGATGTCGCAGAGTGCGCAGGCCTGCTGCGGACATGGTTCCTTTGTTGCTATTCTGAGACAGTCGTCGACAGGGAGAGAGGCGCACGCGCCAGAAAGAGATGAAGAGGAAGAGCACACCGATCCTTCTGGGCAGGCGAGTCCACAAGAGGAACCCCAGATGTTCCCTAAATAGCACAGACAAGGACAGAAAAGTCTACTAATCCGACCCGGGCCGCTGCATTAGCTCCGCAGAGCTGGGTGAAGGATCGTGCGTCTTGCTCCCCACCTCCGCAGCTCGACTCCTCGTGGCAGCACGTTTGACACGCAACGACATGCACGACTTGGCGATCACCTTGCCCGACGCTATGCTCGCTCCTCTTCTGCAGCAGGTAACAAATGACGCTGATCGTGATAATCGCTGCTGTGAATAGCTAAAGGCTGCATCTCATCCTCGCACAACCACGCGACGGTCCTGCCTAGCACCGGGCAAGCCATAAGCCATGCAGACAGAGCTATAGGGCATGAGGGCTTGACTGCATGATACTTCTGCGGAGCACAGTACCTCTGTCCGCATCCCTGATTTTCATGAATGCTAAAAGCACCGGAGCGAAGTTTGAAGGGATTGATGGTGCTGTGTGTCCTCTTCTCGAAATTGCGTGATGAACGCTGCCAGCTGGGAGGACAGTCCGCGGAATGCATGTTAGATGGGCCAAGAAGGCCTTCCGAAGCATAACGAAGGCGAAAAGGACCTCGCCAGAGCTCATGTTTCAGGCGGTAAGAATTCTCCGCGTGGCGTGTTCTGCAGTATGCAGCAAGCCCACCACGTGGCTTGTCTTCACACTCGTCTTCGTGGGCACGATCATCCAGCTCTGTGCCAGTGATACAGAGCATTCTGTGATGAGAGCCGGCCTTGCATTGCTAGCTTCCGCGCGAGCCACTTGTCGCCACGAAAGTTCAGATATCGGTCACCGAATGCCTCAACAAAGCCGTCAGGCTCCGTAAGTCCCGACAACATTGCAAAGCGGGCTCTGCTGGCGACTTTGACCCTTCTCTTCGAGCGTGACGCCCGCTCTACATCTGTGGCCCCTCTCTGTTCCAGTGAGCCTTTCATCTCCAGTTTACGATGCTGCGTGTCCCAGCTGGGGTTCGTATAGCACAATCCCGCGACATCGAAGCGTAAGTGAGAATAACACCAAGTCCACATATACTGAGAAGACAGAGCAAGACCAGTGCTAGATCTGTCCAGCCTTTCGACGAGCCAATGCCATGCGGCCGGATCCGGACGCTGAGAGCGGCCGAGGCCATATACTCCAGCCTTGCGACTCAATTGCCTGTGGATCTATATTCATACGTCCAAGTACGATCTTCTCAAGGTTGCCAAGTCTTGTACTACTTGTCATCGAAAGAACTTGTTGCTCGGATAGTTTGCACCCACCTCGAAAATCCAAAATATCAATTTCTCGCAGCGAACTTGGCAGTAAGTCGTTGACCTCAAAGGCTCCAGAACCCTGTACCTGCGGCAGATCTAGTCCGACCAAGCACATAGCAGGAACCTGGAGAATTTGAAGCATTGACAGTGGCGTCAGATCGCCAAGCGGACGATGTGAGGTGTTGAAGCTTGCTTCATCGAACTGGAATGCATCGTTAGGCTCGAGCCTCAGTTTGATCAATCTCGGTCCGAACTGTCGCAGTGCATCCCCAATAGAGTGCCATTCGATAATGCAGTCTCCCACTCTCAGTGAACCCCAATGGACTGACAGGCTGTCCAGTTTTGTGCAGACTCCCAATAAGGACGCAAATCCAGCAGCATCCAGTAACGAATTAGTCAACTCGATGGTTCTTAGATTAGTCCTGCGGACAAGAAACTCTCGTAACTCATCTTCCTGTAAGCTTAGTGATCTCCCTCTAAGGGTGGAAAGTGTAGCATGACAGAGCAAGTTTTGCACGTCCTCCATGAGCGTGCAGCCTTCGGGCGCTCCATGTGTGAGCGTGTATTCTTTCAATTCAGGCAATAGACGATATGGCGCAACGAAGCCTGGAGCCAAGTTCTGCGTGCTGAACGTCCCAGCTGCTTGCAATATGTGGCCTATGCTTGACTCTTTCCAACCGGGCCACAGCTGCAAGTCAATGCGGCGTATCTTTTTGCAGGAAGTGAGCAAGAGGGTCCAGCTAGCATACCCTTGCCCATCGCGCAGGTGCTGCAGAAGCTCTCTGTGTTTGATACCGTATCCGCCAAGCGTGAGCAGTTCTCCCAAAGCTGTCCGATATGCTTTCCAGTCCACATCCCGAAGATCTTGACACGCTGTCTCTTTGTCTTCAGCTTGGGTGTACTGATCAACACCAATGTGGACATCCAGAATACGATTTCGCAGATCGGGCCGAGCAAATATCGTGCGCAAAAGCCGTCTCACTCTGCAGACAGAGCCAGGCTTCCCAGCAGGCCAAACAATTGAGCGGTACAGGACCGGTTCAGCCAAACGGCGGAGTTTCTTGGAGGTCATGCACAAGCTTCGCAGCGTCTGAACATGCTGCCAGCAGTCCTCATTAGGCGCAAGCTGTTGACGCCCAGCGGCACTTTCGATAATTAGTGCCAGCAACTCTTCTGGCAGGTCCAGGCCCGTCGCGGAAATATCCCTTGCTACGGATCCGTCACTCACGCGACGACATGGACCTCCTCTCGTCGGCAAACTGCTACACCATTGGCCCATTTCCGTGCGCTGGAAGTGGTTTATTTGTCCGTAGCAGGGTGTTGCTTGCGCAAATCCGGCGACCGCGCAAGTCATCAGGTTCCAGCCCTAACAATGTTCATGTCTTCTGAACCAGGTGGTCGGGAAAACATACCGAGACTCTGGGGCTAGCTTGCCCGCTGCCGTTGACCTGGTGCCTGCGCCCAGCATCGGGAACTTGAAACTTGATCCTGGCGGAGCTTCGACCCGTGGTCTGTTAATTAAGTCTGATTCCTTCCCTGGATGCAGTAAATTCGAGTTAATTTCTTGTCCCTCTGATTGAGAGAGGGCTCTCACGCGTCAGACTGGCCTCGAGTTCCTCCGGTAATGAAGTGTGGGATTGGGGGATCATTCTGGCCCGCATGTGCAATGTCTTCGCCGTGTGGTCGATTGGATGAGGTGTTTCCTGGAGTACCCACAGCTCAAATGCTCATGAACGCGTCAGGAGATGTTCGCTGACCGTCGCCGCGCAGAACATCACAAGAGGCTCCGTCCGGCCTGCAATGACGCGCAAACGTGCAATCGCATACACGAATTCCGAAGAGCTTCAAACGATGTTCCCCGGTTTTTAGATGCTAAACAGATGGATGCTGCAGCCGATGATCGTTGGAAGGAATGAAGACCTGCGAAAACACGGGAAGGATCCAAAGTTAAACAGCTGACTCAGCATTCAAGGCTCTACAAGGTGCGTGATCCTGCGATGCAGCATCTCTTTTGACACCAGAACACAGCAGCGCATGCAACTAGACGTCTAGTGAGACGGGCACAATCTCTGCAACAGGAGACCGATCTGCCGATTCAATGAGGAGCCACTGAAAAGCGAGGCCACAGGCGATGCGGCATGAGACATCGGCCACTTCGGCCAGCAGAGACTTCGGCACCGTGATCGTCAAAACAGAGCTGGCTAACTACTGACCAAGAGCTATTAAGCCAGACGGAGCGCAGACATTATTCCGGGGTGGTTCCACTGACGCCGCCATGACACACATGCTTTACACGTGCAGACTGAAGATCGCTATAACCACTCTTCTACAGCTTCAAGACTTATCGGGCCGCCTTGGCAGACTAAATAAACGAGGCCATATCACCTAAGGGTTACGACGCATTGTGAACAAATGTTCAAAGTCCGCCCCTTTCCGCAACGAACGCTTCATTCCCTGCACGACCTGGCCGTTCTCTAGATCCCGTCGACTTTTCAGGTCTAGATCAATTACGACTTCGTCAGACCTATTCCTGTGACAAGCACGTTCGAACGTTCCAACCAGAACCTTCGTGTCGTCAACGTTGTCTTCCTAGTCGTCCAGGCGCGCAAGAACGTGCGATGGATCTCACGTAGCTTTCCGTCTCGTTTAGCTTCTGGTTGTCATAAGCAGCAAGCAGCATGTTGAACATTCGTGCGACTAGGCCTTCTCAACAGTATTGCCAAGTACTCGTCTACCTGCCAACCAGTCAGCATAAGCGGATTGATCAGGAAATTCCGTGTACAAGCATCGGAAATGATACAACACACTCCCCTCTCAGTTCCAAGACTCGTCATTCAGCAGTCTCGGCCCAGCTGAAGTCGTCGCAAAGCTTTGGTGTATTTTCACGTCTCACTGTATCAGGCATGAGTGCCTAGCTGGAGGAATCCTAACTACTGCACTGCAACCTTCTTGGGTCGGAACTTCGAAACACCCAGCAGTCAAGGGATGCGTGAGGTTGGTGCTAGCATGTCTGTTTCGAGCCTTCTGGACAGAGTAGAGTCTCGCTACGACCAAAGTCTTCTCGGACGGCGGAGCTGCCATGTGAATTGTGTTGCTGTACTGGGGCTATACGCGCATGTCAGAGATATCATGCACATGGTTGTGACGTTATCAGACTTGGCTTTTGGAAGCTATCATGACAAGCGCTTCCGAAAGCGCTCCATCGCAATGCTCCAGCAGAGTGAAAGGTGTCGAATGCCATGGACACAGCTTGAACACTTCTTCTCACGCGTTGCGAAGACTGTAACAGATCAGTCGAGGTTTTGCAATACTTGCGAACAGTGCATCTACAGCAGGTTGGTCTGGATTTTGTTAGCACGCGCCATATGTACAGGTGCTGTCGAGGTGCTGCAGTGTCCGCGCATGGCAGACGTTCACACGATGCATTGCATCGCTTTCCCAAATCGATGGGCCGCCTTTTGACTGAGCAAGTTGAGATTGGAGCGTTCTGCTGGCCAACCCCTATACCGGAATGAGGCCGAGGGGTGATGTCCGTGCCAAGAAGGCCCGATGTAACGCCTGGACTTCTGTCTCAGCACGAACAAACCTAGAAGTTAGCATTCAACAAGACCAGAAAGTAAGAACAGGAGAACAGGAGAAGAAGGCTTCGGGATGCTCGAGTGATCCGACTCGTAGAGTAGTTCTCCCATTGCTCGATTGTCATTCCGGCGTGACGACGCGCTACCAAATACACATGTGCAGAATCGCCCGGCCCATCCAGTGATACATGCTCTCGCAACACAACTCGCTTCCTTCATTATTCAAAAAGGGTAAACGCCTTGCGCTTATGCTGGTAGGTAGTCGCGGATATTATCGTCAATGCGGTGTCGGCTTGCCTAGAGGTGCTTAGACGGCCATGATGGCGGCACCACCAGCGGCCACGAGACCGAAGAAGCTGATGGCGACGTTGGCAGCGGCACCAGTGGCTTGAGCAGGTCGCGAAGCGGTGGCGGTAGGGGCGGTGGTAGAGCCGTAGGTGGCCAAAGAGGTCTTGGTGTATCCACCTGGAATCATGGTCACGTTCTGGGCAGGCTTTGGCGAGCCGGTGGCGATTGGGTAGTAGGCGCTGGCAACGCTGCTGGTGGATGGCACAGGCTTGGTGTAGGCATCTGGGGTCTTGGCAGCGCTGGAGGCGGAAGAGTAGGAACCACCGTAGCCGGCTGGGGTCTCGTCGGTCTTGTCGGACTTCTTGTAGCCTGGGTTGGAGATGCCGAATTGAGTGGTGTACTGGTATTGTCCGGTGGCGTCGACGATCAGCTGAATGCCGTAGCCCTGGGCGTTCTGTGATGCGAGATATGCGTGTCAGTGAAAGTTCTTGCCGCCACTGAACGAGATTCGCGGGGCAGGCAGGCGCCATTCTTACCTCAGTTGGCTCCAAGTCCGTAGATGGAGTCCAGACGTATGTGCCCTTGTTCTCGATCTTCTCCACGATTGGGTATTGTGGAACAGCGTTGCTGCTTGGGCCCTTGAGGAGGAGGAGAGTGACGGTGCCCTCCGTGGTTGGCTCCCAGGTCTGGAAGTAGCAAATGGTCAGCAAATTCTGTTGCCAACAACAGACCTCGAGTCAGCTGCGCGACTTACGACAGTGAAGCCCTCGCCAACTGGAACAACCGAGTTCAAACCAGGCTGAGAGATAGGGTTGCCCTATATTTCACATATGAGCATTCCACCTTCGCAACTCGAATAACTTCATCGCCTGACCTCTGGCTTGTCACCAACTGGCTTGGTGTATGCGGCGGCAAGGCCGAGAAGGCCTGCGAGGAAGAGCTTGGAGAACATCTCGACGAGCTTGTGAGGTTTGTTCGATTTTGGAGATCGGAATGTGCGACTGGCGCGTGTGCTGAACGAGCGACTATGGCTAGGTAGCGCGGTGATTAAAGAGAGGCTGAAGAACAGACGTCTTCGATGGTGTTTGCACGTGAAGCGTGAAGTGAACTTGTGAACGCCAAAAGAAACCTTACCGCGCGCGCAGGGCGATGTCGCCTTTCTATAGCGGACGGGCGGCTCGACCGGTCAGCCTCGCAAGGGAGATGACATATCACATGGGCGTGGCATCCGTGTGTTGAGGTGCTTGGGGGGCATCTCAGACGGGCGGGTGAACTGCACATGGGAGCGCTTGGCCCGCAGAGGGCTCGAAGAGTCGAGGCGCCGTTGCGAAGATGAAATGCAGCGAACCACAGCGCTGCATTGGGGAATCTTCCTTCTAGTGGTATCCACACATGGCCGCCCTTAGCGGCCTGCGAAATTGCCCAGGTGTGGTGCGAGCGGCGGACGCACGCCAGCCTGTGGTGGCAGCTAGCCTACCTGGGCGAAAGGAGTGAGGCAATCTCGGCTGTATGCGTGCTGGCCTACGAAACAATAAATCCTTCTCGCCAGCTCGATTCGCGTCCACGCATTATTTTTGGGCCCATCATCGATCGCGCAAGACCGGTCTGAGACAGAGCAGAGATGCAGCGGTATAGAAAGAGATGGGAGAATAGCGAGAATGAAGAAAACGACCAGAGATGTCCACAAAACAACGACAAGCTTCTGCAGCTGTGGAACCACGGGGATCACGCTCCACGCGGGCAGCACGTGAGGAGCTGTCACTGTCAACATTATTGCCGGGCTCGTGCTACTGCATCACCGCGAGACAGGACAGCACTTGTTTCATGGATCACAACCAGGGCGCGTTTCAACGGTGCTGTGTATAAGGAGGAGAGATTCGCCGCACCTACCTAATTAGAAGCCTGCCCCGGATTCTAAGAAGTCTTCGAATTTCTCTAAGTCTAATACGCGAATTTTAAGATTTTAATATAATAGTAAGGCATAAAGTTATTCAAAAAAAAAAAAGTGCAACACCTAGGGCAACGACTATATTGCCCCCCTAACCCCCCAAGGGGGGCTTTAGAAAGGGAGGGGCGTCCTTCGAGGTGCAATGTAAACTAAAGCTGAAAATTCGTCCGTACTTTGGAATTTCTCCTCCTTATACACAACACCGTTTCAATACATCGGCTTTTCCCTGTTCGTCACGGATGAAGTACCATCGAAGTGGTTAGGGTACGAGAATTTTCGAATATTCGAACTGTCGTATGTACAGAGGTGCTCCCATTGCCTGCCATACAACTCTTCACCATGAACCCAGCCTGCTGCAGCGCCAACACCGCCTAACACCAGAAACTTGTCTGCCAGCGAGGGTCATCATGGGTCCCATGTCTAAGATTGCATCTCGTGCGCCTGTCGTTGCGCCGTGTCGAGGACATGAATGAAAACATACAAGAAACAGGTACGTTGCGATTATCCACAAGCATTCACTACCACGAAGTCAGTAAAGGATCAAATCAGAACAACAAACGTCAAACTCACGTTGTGAATCGAGCGGTTGAGGCACGAGACCGCCCGCCACCAAATCTCGGAAGTGCCACTCTGGAGCAGCTTCGTTCTTCCAGCACCAGAAAATCCATCCAGCGGCCTTCTCATATGCGGCAATTTGCGCAGCAATGAACTGCTTGATGTTGTTCTTCTCATCTCCGCTCAAGCCATCGACACTGCCGGATGTCTTTCGATCGCACGAGCCGATGTAGCTAGAACCTTGGCCGTCTTTGTTAAATGTTCCATCGTAACGCGCACCGATGCCGCGGCCGTTCAAGTACTTCGCGCAATCAGTTTGGGCACCGGACCACTCTCCAGCGATTGTCCACTTGTTGGTGGAAGCCATCTGAGCACCGAAGCCGCACGCAGTGCTGATGTGCTGTCCTGGGCTCATTTGGAGCTCGCCACTGCTAAAGACTTCATAATGGTGTGTATCCAGTACCAAATTTTGCATGCCGGCACCAAATTCATTCCAGCTTGTGACACCCATGAACGCATCGTGAAACACGACTGCAACCGGGCTGTCACGAAGGCTTCCCCATCCATCGTAATAGAACTGGCGGACGACGTTCATGTCTAGCTGTGGGCCCATCGGTTCGTTCAGCAACTCAATGGATGAGACAGTCGGATTGTTGGCATAGTCGTCGCGGATCCGGTCCAAGGCGTTTCGCGTTTGTTGAACAGAATCACCTTGAGTCCACCCAACCGGCCCCCTCTTGCCTGAATTGTCGAAGCCATTCTGAGATAGAGGTGCGCCGTGCAGATCGATCATCACTGTCAAGCCGTTGTTTCCAGCCCACTGGACAATGTCCGGAAGGTGCTCATATGCACCCTGCACGTACGGATCTCCTTCTAGGGGTGCGACAGCCCAATAGCCAATGGGGACGCGAACGGTATTGAGTCCATACTGCTTCATGAGCGCAAAGTCCTCTTCGGTGTAGAAAGTACTCCAATGCTCTTCCAGCCGCCTCTTCGCTTCATCCTTCCCAAGCGTTTCGCAGAAGGTATATTCTTGCAGCAGTCAGTACGGCCACGAGCTCATCACATCCACTAATACACACCATCAACGACGTTCTCTGGCGTAGCTTCAAATATCGACGGAGTGATCCATGGTTCCAGCACGAACAGGCCACCCAGATTCACTCCACGAACCTTCTCTTGTCCAAAAGGAAACTTCAGTTGCCTCCGTTCAATCGCGCCCGCGGGAGTCGCTTGGCTCAAGTCGGCCAGGAGGGCTAGTGCAAGTGTGGCCAAGGTAGAAAACGTCATCTTGGCCGTCCACCAGCTGACCAAATGCAACGGAGAATGAAAGGATCGAGTCGAAGTGTGTTCAGTCCACTTGCTGAAGTCCAGCAGCAAAAGTATAAAGGAAATGTGCAGTCAGTAGTAGAATTCAAACACGGAGTCTTAGACTCGTGTAATGAAATGAGTCGAGAACAAAATGGAGATGGCAGCAACTTACCTTTACCGGGGCACCCATTCTTAAGTAAAGCGACACGGTTCAGTGATCGTCCGCAAACAGAAACGGTCGTTACACCCACCCAGCAACGGTCGACGCAGATCTGCCTGAGCCATGCGTTCAGCGCGCGGTTCTCGACCAGACGTTGCAAGGCCCAAAGGGCGCTTGACCTCCTCTCCCACGCAGAGAGCAAGCGCCATGGACAGCGAACCATGTTGCGTCGAGCGTTGCTTGTGACCTGGCCCCACTCGCCCGGTAGACGGCTGGAGGAGGGTTTGCAGTGGTCGGGCTCGCCACGACGCAAGAGGTTCGGTGCTGTGACCAGACATGGCTTAACAGATCAGCGCGGCGTGAGGTGTTGTCTGGCAGCTTTTTGCGCACATCATTAGGGCCATGACATAAGACAGCGCAGAGCTGCTGCCGAGCGCAGGGTTGCAGCTCGGTGGCTCAGGTACCATCGTTCATTGGCTGTATGAGGCAACAAGAATCATGCGGGCTGACGGCAAGGGAAGTGTGCGATGCGCCCGGCCGCCAGTCCTGCGACAACGGTATCCCGACCTAGTTTTAGCCACTTGCGATTGACTAGAGGCGCAAACTCCATGATCCAGCTCGTCGTTGCGATCGATTCCCACGTTGCAGGACGTTCTGTCAGGCGAAAGAGTCGTGATTCAACGGCAGGGCCAACCAACCACCCGGAGCGTGCGGTGCGGTGCGCAGGGAGTCGAGAAAGGAGGTGCTCAGGCAAAGCCAACGCTCCACTTCCCTCGCACTCGGCTCCGCTGGAACCAAGAAAATAATCGCCCGACCGGCTCGGCTGGGAGATGCAACACTTTCCACGCCAGAACCAGTCAGAATCGCTGCTCAAGCGAGGGATAATCCGTCGCAAAACAAGGCAGCTGCACGGCGAGTTTCTCTTTCCAGCAGAAGGATTGGCTGCTCTGCTGTCGCCGAGGCGTCAAGCCCACAGAACGCCGAGTCTGCCACTAAAGAACAGAAGCGTGTCGAAGCCTGCGAAGGCCGCAGAACAGACTTTCTTGTGGACCCAGCATCACGCCCCCATTCTCTTGAAGCGGTAAACGGAACTTTTCGGGCAATAAATTTCATCGGCAGCAGCGCCATGTCTCTGATGTGCCGGAGGCAGGATTTCGTTCCCAGCACAGCCAACGTCGTCCAAATCAGCCTCCTTGCCTGCACAGGTCGAGAACATCCGCTCTGTACGACTTGCCATGCTCACTGTTACAACAGAAATCATCGGTTTGTCGTCATGACATGCAATTCCGAGTCCATGGCACAGAGGGTGAGACGATCACACTCCTCGCGTGTTCTGCTCTCCACATGCTCCAGATCCACAGTTTCTGCGGGGTACGTTAGCAGACTGCTGGGTCCGAAGGTCAGGCATGTCAACAGCGTCAGGTGTCTAGACAGCTCTACAACCTAGCTCTACTACTACTTCACCTCGTGCCGCACAGCTCGTAGCCCTTGCGATCGGCAGTCGCAACAGCCCAGAAAGCCACGATCTACATGCCGCAGCCAATGGCGGGACTTGTTCGGGCGGCGTAGGAGCGGTATAGACAGCTCTGCAGCCATGTTCCTATAGTCACCAGACCGTAGTGGCGTCATGGTCACTGCTTCTTGGGGTTGCAAGGGCTCTGAGGTCACACGGCGTGGTGTGTTTTCGCTGTTGCCCTGCGTGAAGCTCATGTTGATCGTGTAGTTGATCTTTGGCAGGTGACACACGCAGGAGGGGAAAGGGTCGACTGATGGAACTGGCGGATGACTGCGTAAGTGGCTGTGGGACAGGGCAACATTTCCGAATGTCCACAATGGTCACAGCATGCGTCGCATTGTCGAAACCCATCTGGGGAAGAGGTCCTGAAGCGTCGAGGTATGCGATGTGATTTGGAACTGACGAAGTTGTCTACTAGTATTTGTCTTTCCAAGCCATCTCGTATTGACATGGCTTGGCTTGAAGCCTATTGACCGATCTACAGCTAAGTAGCTGATAGGTCTATCTTCATTCATGTTTTTGGGCCAGCTGGATCATCCGACTTGACATAATGTTACCGAGATGATGTCTTACTTCTCGAGCGGCTCTTTAGTAGGGTCCCAAGCACATGGCGAATACTCTCCAGTATCCAATGCTGCAAGATCCTCCTTGTCCAACTCGAAGTCATACAAGTTGGCATTTTCCTCGATGCGCGAGAGCGTGACGCTCTTGGGCAGGATCACGAATCCTTGCTGTAGGCCCCATCGAAGCAGGACCTGCGTGGGAGTCTTGTTGTGCTTCTTGGCAATCGGAGTGAGAGCTGGATCTTCGTTGCGAGTGGCTCTGACCAGAGGAGAATAGGCTTCAAGCACGACGTTGCGGGCCTGACACCACTTGACGATGTCTGGGCGTGCAAGCCATGGGTGAAGTTCGACCTGGTTGACTGACAGAATTCCGGCTTCCTTGGGTGAAGACTGCTGCTTCTGCCATGCCTCCAATTCATCCAGATGGTGGACACCATAGTTTGAGACGCCGATAGAGCGGATTTTGCCCTCATTGACGGCTTCGACGAGCGCCTGAGCAAAGCCAAGTATGTCAACATCTGCTGACTGTATACAGTGACATCCCACACGAGCACAAACATACCTTCCAAGCTCCAAGTCTGCCCTCTTTACCGCCGTATGGAGCGTGCAGCAGGTACAGATCAATGTAACTGAGGCCCGTCTTTTGCAGACTCTCATTGACGCACTTCTTGGCGCCTTCGTAATTGACTTCCTTTGGCGGCACTTTGGAAGTGAAGAAGAGCTGTTCACGGGGAACACCAGCTCCTAGCATACCCTTCGCCGTCGGCTCTTCATTGCGGTACGCCGTAGCGCTGTCGACATGGCGATATCCAGATTTGATAGCGTGGGTGGTCACTTCTTGGCATTGGTCTGCTGGGCTGCAGAAGATAAACAAAGTCAGATTGGTGGTTGCGGGACCGTGATGCCCAGACCGCCCAGACTAGGTGCATAGACTCACGTTTGGTAGACACCTGGGAGTGGTCAGCTGTGAAGGACCCAATAGCGATAGAAGAACGAGAACGGAGCTTGTTCATTTGGATGACAGAACGAGCATCCGGTCAAGTCGCAGGACTCTATCGAATGAAGGAATATCTCTCAAACCTACCATAACCAAGCAATGGGAGCTCATAGCCCGAAGCGAGCTTGACGGTCGAGTTGATATTGAGCTTCTGCGACATGGCTGCAGCGGTAGAGAAAGATCGAGATGGAAGATGTTTCGCGAGGAGACTGGCTCTTCTGGTGATGTTCATAAATTCACGCGATACTTGAGTGATGGTTGATGGGAAAGTAATTGAGCGAGTCCAGGCACATCTGATGGCGACAACAGGATACGTCACGAACGTCCGTGCGTTATGCTTATTGCGAAGGTGGGTTGGAGGGGTCCTCAAGTGTTGACTCGATATTCTGAGCCCTCAGAGACATGTAACACATCACTTTCTCGCCCACTCATTTGGTTTGCGGACGACTTGATCAGGCCTCTTCGGCTCCCGAGCACGAATTCTGCCACATTCACGAACCGGCGCCCTCCCGCACGACCGAGATGAAGCTCATCCGCCAGAACATTATCGAGAAAGATGGCTCCGGAAGTGCAACTCTCAAGCCAGAAGAGCCCGAGGACATGTGGCATTGCTATAACCTCATACGTCCCACCGACCGCCTACATGCCTCCGCTATTCGCAAGATATCATCCGAGACAGCGACGGGCAGCACGAGGAACGAACGTGTGCACATGCACCTGACGATCAAAGTCACGAAACTTGATTTCGATCCGCAGGCTGGGCAATTACACGTATCGGGACAAGTGGCAGAAGAGAACAAATGGGTCAAGCTGGGTAGTTTTCACACCCTCGATCTCGAGCTGCAACGAGACTTCACATTGGAAAAGGAGGACGGTTGGGACAGCATCGCGCTCGACACTCTTCGAGAAGCTCTTGACCAGACCAAGACTGCCGTTCTTTGGGCTGTAGTCATGTCCGAAGGCCTCGCCAACATTTGTCTCATAACCGAGCACCAAACGATCCTACGGCAGAAAATCGAAAAGTCCCTCCCTCGAAAACGGCAGGGCTCCAGCGACCACGAAAAGTCTCTCCAGTCCTTCTTCAAAGAAACGTTCGATTCAGTCCTTCGACAAATGGACATCTCATCTTCAAAAGACCCTCTCCCTCTTCTCCTCGCCAGTCCAGGTTTCACAGCGTCTAGCTTCCACTCCTACATCAAAGAGCAAGCCTCAGCGTCTGCCGGGAGTAACAAACCTCTTCTTGCGCTAATACCTAAGATCACTGTTGCGCATTCTGCATCGGGCCATCTACACTCCCTCCACCAAGTGCTCTCTTCGCCCGCCGTAACATCCCAACTCAGCGAAACGAAATTCCTTCGCGAAACACAACTGATGGAAAAGTTCTTCACATTGATGAGACAGGACGATCCCAGGGCGTGGTACGGACCGCGAGAATGCGTTAAAGCTGTTGAGCGAGGAGCTGTGGGGAAAGGCGGCGGTGTGTTACTCATCTCCAATGCGCTATTCCGGAGTCAAGAGGTGGATACAAGGAGGAAGTGGGTTGGGGTTGTGGATGAAGTGAAAGAGCAGGGCGGAGAGGTCAGGGTATTGAGCAGTATGCATGAGAGCGGGAAAAGACTAGAAGGTCTGGGCGGCATTGCGGCGATTCTGACATTCCCGATTGAGGATCTGGACGAAGGGGAAGATTTCGATGATGGCGGGTTTGATTTGGAAGGGGATGAGGAGTTCGTCAATGGGAATGGGCAGCATGATGAGGAGATCGACTTCTTATGATGAACATGGCATGATGTTTGACGATGATTACGACATTGCATGGAAAATCGAATGGGCCATAGATACCAGAGACATCTACAGTGTGTACATCTCTTCTGAGTCCCCACTTTGCTGTCCGCAAGTCCATGGAGGCTGCCAGTCGGGACAGTGCCAAGGCCTTAGGGTTACATGTGCAACAACTTGTGGGACGACGGCGGCGACGTGAATTGTGTAGTCTTCACTACAACGATTGCTTGTGACGCAACTTCGGTCACATGGAATTATACTTGCGAGTTCGGAGAGTGCTATGTCGTGAGATGATCCTGATATCTTGCTTTGTGTGCCTGGCCGTCTTTTGTAAATTCAGCCATGTCCAACACGACGAGCGTCAGCTGCATGTGCAGCGCAATGTCATTACGAAAAGACACGAACCGAGGACCAAAGAGGAGCATGTAAAGGCAGGAAGTAATGTGACATCAACGATGAGCTGACGCCATTCACCGTTCAAGTATACAGCACCGTAAATTGTCATAACAGCGTAGCTATCCAACATATGGACCAGCGAAAAAGTACAAACTCCACCCGAGGCCGCGGGAAAACGCCTTTTGGTCATCCGGTTCATGCAGAGACCGTTTTCCCAGCCTAGCTGTAGAGCTTCTTCTCCACGCCCACCATACCATGCACATTACCCTCCGCCTGCGCAGAAGCAGTTCGGAACTCGAATCGCACATCACCCGATCGAACGCCCTTCTGCAGAGCGCTCACACTCTTGACGCCGGCATCTTGGAGCGAGTGTTGCAGACCAGCCGAGAGGTATGGCAGGAACTTGGTGACAGAGCCACGATCCAGCACGGAACCAGAGACACCCTGTGCAACGAGGACTTTATCACCCTCGGAGAAGTACCGTGCAGTACCGGCATTCTTAGCGGTGTTGTTCGCCTTGTCGCCAGAACCGCCGGCCTTCTTGTCCTCCATGGCATCGATCGAGCCCATACCACGGTATGTCTTGCGGAGCTGACCGTCAGGACCAACGACGTAGGCACCTGGAGACTCGGTTGTGGCTGCGAGCAGACCACCCATCATGATGGTGCTGGCACCGAGAGCGATGGCCTTCACAATGTGTCCAACGTTCTGAATACCACCGTCGGCAATGCAAGGAATGCCAAACTTGCTGGCGAATTGCGTGACCGAGAAGACGGAGGTGGCTTGTGGACGGCCAACAGCCATGACCTCCTGTGTGATGCAGGCAGATCCCGCTCCCATACCAATACGGAGACCATCGACACCAGCTGCGATCAGCGAGGCAGCCTGGTCGCGAGTAACAACGTTGCCGCCGATGACGTCGAGCTTGGGGAAGTTTTGCTTGATCCATTGGATCATCTCGATCTGGTACATGGAGTTACCCTGGCTCGAATCGAGAATGACCACGTCGAGGCCGGCTTCGACGAGTGCCGCCAGACGCTCCTTGTCGGCAGGTCGCGTGCCAATGGCAGCAGCGGAGAGTAGCTGTTTCGTGCCTGGCACCTTGGTCGCCAGAGGGTAGTTCAAGTTCTTCATCAAATCGCTGCGGCTGAGCAGAGAGATGAGGTTGCCGGTGTTGTCCACAATTGGCAGCTTGCCCTTCTTACTCTTGCTCAGGATGGCGTTGGCCTCGGTCAGGCTCACGCCCTGCTGTGCGGTAACGAGGTCGGTCGACATGATTTCGGTGACAGGAGAGTCGAGGTTGGCGTGGAATTGGGTGTCTCGAGGCGTGACGATACCGATCAGCTTGCTCTTGAGCTGGCCGCTCTCTGCACATCCTGTCAGCTCATGGTCTTTCTGTGCGATCCGACATGATTGTGCGACGAAGGTGGGAGTCAGAGAATCAATTTCTCCCCAGCGCACCGAGCACACTGGCAAGGCACGTGCGGTTGAACGAAAGTTAATAATTGTGTTTAGCATCACGCGAGGAAGGGCAAGAGGAAAAGCGCAGAGCGAATTGCATACCGGTAACCGGGAAACCACCAAAGCCCCACTTCTCCTTCAATGCGATTGCGTCTGCAACGGTGGCAGTGGGTGAAAGAACAATGGGGTCTGTGATGAAGCCGTTCTCGAAGCGCTTGACCTTCCTGACCATCTCGGCTTGTTCCTCGACGGAGCAGTTGTGGTGGATGACACCCACACCGCCGAGAAGAGCCATGTGGATGGCCATGTTGTGCTCGGTGACAGTGTCCATGGGCGAAGAAGTGAACGGGGTCTTGAGGGTGATGTTGCGCGTCAGCTTGGAGGTCAGGTCGACATCGCTGGCAGGGAAGCCAATGTAGCCCGGGAGCATGAGGAAGTCGTTGTAGGTCAGACCGCCCATCTTCTTCTTGTCCATGAGGTCGTACACGGAGATGCCATCCTTTTCGCCGTACACCTTCAATGCCTCCAGGGCAGTCGAGGGGTCCTCGAAGTGCTCGTCGGCATCGCCATTGCTGGTTCCGTTCGCGTGCGCCTGCAGAGCGGGCTCTGCTTCCGGCTTCTTGAGGGTGACGCCGTCGTATGGCTGCTGAACGCCGTTCATGGTGGCGAGGAGGAGTGTGCAATGGAGAGGAGGATCGCAGTCTGTCGCAATGAATTAGCAGGTGGAATTCAGTCGCTCGATCCACGCAAAGTACTTACCCCAAGGAAAGAAAGAAAGGACTCGCAGATGGCGGCAAGAAAATATCGAGTTTCGCGCGCCGTGCGGATCTATCCGCCAGATCCTTGTCTTATCGCGTCACCCGCAGCCGAAAGTCAAAAGTGGGTAGGCGAGCGACGAGCGTAAACAAACAGAGAGCTTTTCGCGGGTTCTATGTAACGAGGCCGCCATTGTGCCCACCTCGTCGTCTCCCACATTCCTCTTCGACTATCTTCATCGTGACATGCGTCTCGTCTTTCCATGTCTCGCACCCACGTGAAATCGGTGGTCTGAGGGAGTGCCATGCCGTTGAGCCGAGCGTCGATGCAAGCCGCCTTTGCATAGCAACCACTCCCAAAACGCGCCTCGCCTGGGCACGCTGCATGCTTCCACCTCACATCCTCAACACCACCCTCGTCCCTCACTTCCAGACCGACGCCCGGCCTGACTCGGGGCAGGCACCACCGCCAACATGCCTTCCTACCCGGCCTTGAGCTCGCCGACCTCGCCGCCGCACAATCGCTTCCGAGATCACAGCCCGACCAAGTCGTCGCCGCTACGGCACATGAGCACGCGCTCCAACAACAGCGACACCGATCGAGCTGCCATTGTCAGTCGCCAAGCTGCCTTCAGCAGTAATGTCCCCTCTACCTATCACCGACCAGGGCTGTCTGGACTGGACACATCAGGGAGTGATCCCTTCCTAGTACCGAGCACCACAACATCAACGACCACAGGCGCGAAACGAGATAGATCCGAATCGCCGGTCAAGAAGAACGCCGCATTCGCCAAGTGGGAGCAGCGCGAACAGGCCGAGCAAGAACAGAATAAGCTGCAGCGCACGCCCTCGAGGATGGACGTGTCGCCCCGAAAAGTGCGCGACGACGACTGGCGCACCACCTTGGGCAGGAGTGAAAACCGTGGAGCCTTGAGACCAGTCGCAGAGAATCGAAGTCCTCCCACCAGACAGCCTCCACCGTCCAGCAATGGCTTCACTCACCTCCGGACCGAGTCGAAGGAGAATATACGGGAACGACCGCCGAGTCGCGAGAAGCTGGATTCGCCCTTCGCATCACCCACCAAATCACCTGGCCACACACGAGGCGTTAGCGAAGATCTAGCATTGCGGCCAGCAAAAACACCCAACCGTGTCACGTTTGCAAGCGAGGACACCACTATGAGATCTCCTTCGCCCGAGCTCAGATCGCCCCCTTCTCCCACCAAAAATAGTCTGGCGACGCTGTCGCGATCAGACTCCATGCGGGCCAGCACACGACCGTCCCGAGCGCGAGGGCATGCGCGCTTCGGCTCTACAGATATGGCCCCTCCGCAGTTAGACGGCGAAGACCTCGGCCAGCTGCAAAAGTCATCCACGCCCCAACTACGCCATCTCAGTAAGATCGCTACGCAGGAGGGTGTGACGGACGATTTGGGCGTACACAAGCCGGAAGAGCAGGTGACGGGACTCATGGGCAGGAGGAAGCTGCAGCGATCAGGATCGGTCAAGCCTAGAACGCCGAATCAATCACAATTTGCGTCACAGTACTCAAGCACAAAATGGATGGATACGCAAAGGAAACATTTGCAGGCTTACGAATACCTTTGTCACATCGGAGAAGCGCGGGCGTGGATCGAGGATGTACTGGAACCAGAGAAGCTGCCTCCCATTGTGCAGCTGGAAGAGGCGCTCCGGGACGGAGTTACGTTAGCTGAGGTGGTAGTCCGCCTCGCGCCCAGATTGCCGCCCGATCAACAACAAGCCTTGGGATCGAAACGCATATGGCGAGGCACGCCGCTCACGTATCGCCACACCGACAATACCGCGCTCTTCTTCCGCTTTCTGGCAGAAATCGACCTTCCAGAGCTGTTCCGATTCGAACTAATCGATTTGTACGAGAAGAAGAACATCCCAAAAGTCATATACTGCATACATGCCCTGTCATGGCTTCTCTTCCGCAAGGGCGTCACAGACTTCCGCATCGGCAATCTCGTTGGTCACTTGGAGTTCGAAGAGCACGAACTGGAGGCGACGCAAAAGGGCATCGATAAGAGTGGTGTTGCCATGCCCAACTTTGGTGGCATGCGTGAAGCAATGCAAATTGAGGAAGAGCCAGAACCTCCTCCACCCACCGAAGACGAACTGCTTGCGGAGCAAGAACCGATCATCGTAGATTTGCAAACGCAAATTCGAGGCTCGCTTGTGCGCCTGCGGCTAGGCAATACTATGCAAGACTTGTGGGACGTGGAAGAGTCAATAGCGCATCTTCAGGCTATCGCTCGTGGAGGCTTTGCACGAGAAGTCTTTGATTTCAAGTATGCGACCCACAATGCTAATTCGCAATTTCAAGCGGCTGTGAAAGGGTATCTGGTTCGGAAGAAACTCCATCGGAAACGGGAAGCATGGACGCAGAATAAGGACGCTGTCGTCAAAGTCCAAAATCTGTGGCGAGGCCGACAGGCGAGGGCTCAGACGAAGACGATCCGCAAAGAACTACAGGCGCATCGTCATGGCCTCAAAGAGCTGCAAGCGGCTCTACGTGGTGCGATTGGGCGATGGCGTGCTGGCGACTTGTGGCATGAGACGAGAAGCGAGGAAAACGAGGCCAGAGTCGTGGAATTTCAAGCTGCTGCGAGAGCTGCGCTCGAGCGAATGCGAGTCGGTGGCATCATGAATCAACTCTGGGATCAAGAGGCCACAATCGTCAAATTCCAATCGATGCTTCGAGCTCAAGCCGTCCGGTCTCTACAGGAGGACACTAGAGAAGAACTGGAAACAACACAGCAAGGGTTGGACATTGTGCAGCTGCAGGCGGCCGCCAGAGCCATGATTGAGCGACGACAACAAGCTGTAGCTCATGGTGAGCGCAAGTTCGAAGAACCAAGCATTATCCAGGCACAGTCGGCTGCGCGAGGTTTGCTGGAGCGACTGCGTACCGCCCGGACACTAGGCGCGCTGCAAGGACGAGAATCGGCCATTGTCAAGTTCCAAACACTCCTTCGCGCCAAAGCAGCAAGGTCTCAACATATGGACACGCGAGAGGCGCTCGACTCTCAAGTCGAGCAAATCGTCCAGTTTCAGGCACTTCTTCGAGCTAAGGCGGAACGATCGCTCTACCAAGACATCAAGGAGGAATTGCAGAAACATAACGAAGGTGTGAAGTCAATACAATCGGCCGCACGAGCCATGCTGCAGCGTAAGAGCATCGGCGAGAAGCTCGCAAGCCTGGAAGATCAGGAGACTGAGATCACCGCACTACAATCGCTTGCTCGCGCGTACCTCGAGCGACAGCGCATCTTTGACCAGCTCGTCCAGATGGAGAAGGAAGAAGAGAGCATCATCCAAGTGCAATCCACCATCCGAGGACTACTGGAGCGAAGTCGTATCGGTGAGCTACTCGCCGGTGTTGAGGAGCATGAAGCTGCTGTCGAGGGCTTGCAGACCGCAGTCCGAGCATTCCTTGTGCGCAAGCACTTCGCTGACAAGCGAAGACACTTCCGCGAGAACATGGAGAAGGTGATCAAGCTGCAATCCTTTGTCCGTGCCAAACAGCAGGGTGAGAGCTACAAGAGCTTGGTCAACGGCAAAAACCCTCCACTTCCTGTCATCCGGAAGCATGTGCACCTGCTGACAGATAGCAATCTCGAGTTCGAAGGTGAGATCGAGGCAGAAAGGCTGCGAAGACAAGTCATTGAGAGTGTGCGGCGGAACGAGCTGGTCGAGAGTTACGTGGAGGGCCTGGACGTCAAGATTGCGTTGCTGGTCAAGAACAAGATCACTTTGGACGAAGTTGTGAAACATCAAAAGCACTTTGGTGGCTCGGCATCCCAACTCCTCCGTAACGGAACTCAGCTTGCTCATCCATCCGGACTGGACCTGAAGGCACTCAACAAGAACTCTCGCAAAAAGCTGTCCAGCTACGAAGAGTTGTTCTTCCTCGTCCAGACGCAGCCTCAGTATTTGGCAAGAGCCTTCTCCGTGCTGACACAGCGAGGCCTTCCCGAGAAAGACAGCAAGAACTACGAGCGACTAACAATGACCTTGTTCGGCTATGCACAGAAGAGCAGAGAGGAATACTTGTTCATGAGAGTCCTCGCCACCAGCAATCAACAGACCGTCTCGCGGTGCCAGAATGTCGAAGACTACCTGCGACAATCGAGTGGTACGTTCCAGCACAGGCTCATACTCAATTACGTGCGCAACCCTCGCGAGCGGACCTACCTCAAGACGCTTCTTGGCGGCATGGTGAAGGACGGCATTTGTGGCCAGGACCACCTTGACCTGGAGAGTGACCCGCTGCAAATTTATCGAGCAATCTTGAATAACGAGGAGCTACAAACTGGCATACCCTCTCAGCGCCCACGCGACATTCCGCGAGAAGTTGTCATCAGGCAGGAAGATGTGAGACCGAGATATGTTGAGCACTTGGAAGACTTGCGAGATCTGGGCGACGGCTTCTTCTTGTCGCTAGAAGAGTCTCTGCATCGCATGCCGTACGGTCTTCGATATCTGGTTGCAGAGCAGCACCGTGCTCTCTGCGCGCAATTTCCCCGAGAAGACCCAGCTGGATTGGCAATGCTCGTGGGATCATGGTTGTGGAAGACATACCTTCTACCAGCGCTGAGAGAGCCGGAGATGTGGGGAGTTGTGGACCGTGGTCTCAGTCCCGTACACAAGCGCAATTTGGCACAAGTGGTGACAGTTCTGAGCCAGGTCTGCAATTCTGGTCGCCTCTTCGGTGTCGAGAACCTTTACCTACAGCCACTCAACAACTGGATCGGCGAAAGTCTCGACCGGTGGTCAGAATGCCTGCAGCACATGTTTGACATCTCTTCGCCAGAGGAACAGTACCATGCGGACCAGTTCTCCGACCTGTATTCCATGACGAAGCCGGTGCTCTACATCAAACTCATGGACATGTTCGCTCTGCACAGTTTGATCTCAGACAACATCTCTGCCGTGGCGCCTGACAGAGGCGACCCTATCAGGGAACTTCTGACGGATCTAGGCACAGCGAAAAGTAACGAGACTGATCTAGGTGGTGCTACTAACGGTGGTGAAATTACCTTGACGCTCAAGTCACGCTTCACTGTCCAAGATGACCCAAGCGCAGAGTCGCGGCAGCTGTTCACAGCTACAAAACGACTGGTGCTGTACATCATCCGCGTGCAGTCGGGATCGAACCTGATGGAGATTCTTCTGCGGCCCATCACGCATGAAGATGCCGATCGATGGATCTCGCTCGTCCAGGAAGAGCTCGCCGAGAAGGAACAACGGAATCATCGACCCGGCCACAAGCGATCGCCATCTCAGTTCGACCCTCGTGCATCAATGCGCTCGAATCGGGCGCTGTCAGTCTACAGTGAAGCACAGTCCACCTTCTCAGAAGACCGAAGAGACCTCATCGATCTCCAAGGCATGACCTATGCCGAGCTCAAGGCTACTGCTCTCGAGAACATCATGCAGCTCGAACAGCCACATGTCCCACCACAGTTTCGCGTGTCAAGACACAACAACTACCAAGAAATCCTCAACGCCCTCGCCGCCGACATCCGTCAAAAGCACCGCCGGCGCGTCGAACGTCAACGAGAGACCGAGTCTACGCGTGCCACGATCCAACAGCTCGATGCCAAAGCTCAATTCCTCGAAGACCAACTCAAATCGTACAACGATTACATTGAACAATGCCTCCATACGCTTGCCAACAAGAAAGGTACCAAGCACAAATTCGTCATGCCTTTCACCAAACAATGGTCGCATGAGCGCGAACTCGAACGCGCGGGCCGCCAGCCCAAGTTCGGCTCGTACAAGTATTCTGCGCGCCAGCTGGCTGACAAAGGCGTCTTGCTCACATGGGCACAATACCCACAGGAGCAATGGGGCAATCTGGACATTGTCATCAGTTCCGATGAAGTCGGTGTGTTCCATCTGGAGGCTAGTTCCGGCAGCATGATGTTGCCCGGCGCGAGTGCGATTCTGTCATTGGATGAGCTCTTGCAGGCGCAATACGATGGTCTGGCAACGATAAAAGCTTTCGAAGAGGCTCAAGGGGGTGCCGCGAAGTTGGCGGTGAATTTGTTGTTGCATTTGGTTTTCAAGAAGTTTTACAAGGACGGGTGATCCACGGATCACGAATTGGAGGGGGAAGTGATGACGATGATGGGATGAATGAAGGCGATGCGACGACGACGACGCTTTGATGGTCTTATGCTTGCATGGTCAAAGGATTTGTTTCTGGTATAGCGATGGGCGTTGGCGGTGTTCTTGCTCTTTTGAAAAGGAGGGGTTTTCACGGCTTCACTCTTATGGCTTCCGTAACACGTAAAACGTGGATAGTTCGAACGATGGACATTAGCAGACAGTAGAGAGCAAAGAGAAAAAGGTACACAGTTTCCTTCTAAGGCATATATGCAGTATATATATTCGAATGTGTACACGTTGATGACCTTGTCTTCTGTCGATGATTTTGAACACTTCGCAGTCACCTGCTCTGCCTTTGAGGATACCTTACCTGCTTTGGGTTGCGTGAATGGGACGACTTCGAGACGATGAAGAGGTGAAATGGGAGGAAAAGGAGTCGAAATGGCTCTGCGCGCTGCCTTGTATTTGGCATGATGCGAGCTGCCGTGTTATCAATGTCTGTCTATTCTCTAGTACCGAGCAACGCGAAGAACGTGAACGCTCGAGACGTGACAGTCTACGTTTGCGCCGTCATTTCGCATCGAAATTCATCACACCACGCGACTCATTCAGCGCATGCCTTCATTCGATCTGTAGTGCACTCCCACTACGTCTCGTCTCTACTGCATCTGCGCTGCCTCACCAACCATGTCAAATGGCGCCAGACCAGTCCCGAAGAACAGCCCATCCATACCACCACCGGTAACCCCCGTCATATCTGCAAGACTCAAATCCATCGCCTGTTGAAAATTCGAGCCCCAGAGCCAAGGATTTCCTGGATCAAAATCTGAGCTGCCATTGCCTGCTCCATAAGATGCCATGCTACCGGCAGGATAGCCATTGCCCGCATTCTGCTGCTGGACGGGATACTGAGCTTGCGACTGGCCCGAGTAATCGCTAGGATATGGCGCGTTCACGGGCCAGCCATTATTCGGTGGTTGTTGACTCGTCTGCTCCTGCTTGACATCGGACGCAGTCTGTGCAAGGAGATGCAGTGGAGTCTGCCCGTTGTGATTGCCCAGCTGCTGCTGCATCGGGTTTGGAGGTGCCTCGCCTCGAGCCTGCGCGGCAACGTTCTCCTTGTGCTTCGTGAACCACTCTCGCAGCACATTGAGGATCAAGACAACCTTGGGATGAGGTTGAAAATCTTGCTCAGTGGAGACATTGGTGTATATGCTGATAATGCCATCAAGTCGACGGTCGACGTCGATGTCCTCCGCTGTCATTACTTTCGCGATTTCGCTTCCGGGTGTCGTGACAGCAACGTGCATCTTGATCAGGATCACTATTGCGTAGGTGGTGCGCACGAAAAAGATGAGCGTTGGCATGGTCTTGACGGTCTCCGCATCAAACGCCAACATACAATCAAGTATGCCGTGAGCAGAATGACGGCACGCCTCGAGCGCCGAGATCTGGTTCTGCGATAGCTTCTCAGACGTGCTGTTGACAGACTTGAGCGACTCTTCTGTGAAAGGCATGCGAAAGTCCTCCACATTATGATTGAAATGGAGGGCGATCTCGTGGAGGTAGAGGTTTGCAACGTGCTCAAAAAGCTTCAAGTGCGGGTGGCTCTTCAGCTCCGGCGGGATCTTCGAGCTCCAGTCCTTGATCTCGTTCTCCATGACATTCAACGCGTACGAAACCTTGGGATCGGTTATGCTTACGCTGGCGCCGTTGTCGTCCATTAAGAACTGTACGCTGACGTTCTCGCAAATGTGCTGGATTTTGATGTGCTCACAGAACAGCTTGTCCGACGGCAGTGCTTCTGGGCTCGTCTCCAAAATTTCAACACATTCTTCCATGTACCTCGTCCAGTGCACGAGCGTGGGCCGACGCAGCACCATTGCGGCACTCGCGCAGAGGTAGTAACAGCCCAGGTATGCTCTTCTAGCTTCGAGGCTGTCCGTCGGAACGGAGTGGTAGGCAGGTGGCCCAGGAGTGTACTCAGGTAGAGGACCACCTGGGCCTCGTCTGGACTTCATCGGAGTGTGGCGTCGACACAGACCCAGGTCGATGCACATTATAGCCGCCATGTGGATGATCTGGTAGAAGTTGGTAGACTGCGTATGCTCCGGAGGCTTATACCACAGCGCAAGAACCTGCACTGCCTGAATGAGCTCGATTGATTTGGCGCCATTGACAACGACAAGGTTGGCGATTTCCTTGATCGCTTCGTGAGCGAGCTCATTGGACGCTTCTGGATGCAAGATACCATACGAAGCTGCAGACAATATTGCCGCGTACAAGATGGGCTTCTCCTTCCAGATCTGCTCTGCTTGTGTTCCTGGAGGGAATACGACTGCGGGCATGTGCGGAGTGAGCTTTTCCACGTAGCGATTGAAGATTTGAACACCCAGAGGCGGACTGACGAGACTATCGATCTTGTTCAGGAACTCTCGGGACGGACTGTTGTGCGACGGTGGCATGGTAGCTTCCGCGGCCGCATCGAAGGTGCGATTGTGCTCTCGCAGCCGATTCGACAGGTCCTGCTCGCTATGGCTCCGTACATCGAATTCTGCAGACGAAGCTGGAGCTTGCAAGTGGGAAGACTGCATAGCATTGTCGTCCGTCCGTCTACGTTTGGCCGGTGGCTGCATCGGTGACTGATCGTGCGGCTGCTCTGGCGGCTGACCATACTGCTGGAGTTGCTGCGCAGCCTGGGCATAAGCTCGTCCTTGCATGTCGGCCGTAGGAGCGTGCCCATATTGCGGACTATACGGAGCCGCGCCGCCCTGCTGTTGCTGCTGCAGGACTGCAGTCAGATGGTCCAACTTCTTCTCCAGCTCCGCCACGCGGCTGTCCGCCTTCTTCTGCCGCTTGCGACTGGGCGCGGTGATGATGCATTGTCGGCCTGCCTTGGCGCATCTTCGACATGGCAGCTCGGGGTGATTGGGGTCCTGATCGCATCGCACCTTCAGCCCGCGACACGCCTCACAGGCGCGCGGGCGCTTCGGATCGTCTGGGTGCGCGGCATCGTTGGGGTCGTCGAGCTGGCTGTTGTCGATGCTGTCCTGCACGAGTTGCTGATACTGCGGCGTCGCGGCCTGGGGACTCGCCTGATTGCTCGCGCTGGCGACGCTGGGGGCGGCGGTGCTCGCTTGGTGCGGCGTCGGAGGCTGCGGCGGGGGATAGCTGCTGTAGTACGGGTTCGACGTGTTCGGCGCTGGATACTGGCCGACGTTGGAATTGGGCGGATGTTGCGCGAATGGCTGCGGCGGAAGCGGTGGTGGAGGGTGTTCGTATCGCAGCGGAGGCGGTGGTGCAACGTTGGACGGCGAGTTGGTGGAGGGACCCGACAGTGCAGGATCGATCTGCTGTTGTGGTGTCGACGCCATGGCTCGCTCCCGACGCTCTCGAGTCGGTCGGTGTTGAGTATTTGGCACCGTGGTCGTCGGCCAGTGTAAAGAGCGAATTCCGCGTTTTTCAAAACTCCACTTCACGTGACTGCAGACCATTCACCTCGGGCCGGACCCTTGCACCTTTCCCCTCCCTCCATCCATTCCTGGCTAGCATGGTCTGCATACTCCAGCACATCACCCCAAAGTACCTCACCCGGCTAGCCGGCACACCTAGCGCACGCATCGAGTACGGGCGAAAGCGCTTGCAAGCATAACAATGCATGTTTCAGCATAGACCAGAAGGCCATGCAGCAGTCTCGATTCATCGAGAAACCCCAAGTGGTCTGGCGTCAGTGTCACCCTTCACATGCGGAAGGCTTCTGTGTGCAAAAACAGTCACTACCTCCTAGGTACAGCACAAGTAGGCATCTGCCACAGCTTCGTTTGATCGGATGTCACAGGAGAATCGTGTCATCATGCTTGAAGCTGAAAGTGACAAGGGCCTTTGCTCAATTATTGTTCCTACGAGATAGCAAGATCCAAATAGCATAGCAATATTCGTGGGCTCACATGCCTGTGCATACTGAGGTCACACGTCTGGAGCCAAGTAGCCTCGATTCTCAATGCCAGTATCAACGACTACCTTACAGGTCATACTAGCCTGCCTCCCGCCGAAGAGCAAAACGGAAACCACGACCGACACGGTATGCTGGGTCTGTAAACCTGAGCACTTCCTCTCTCTTCGTGTCTGTCACGTACGCGATGTGTTCAAGGCACGCTGCGTTGCGAAGCGAGATAGTCGCATCGTCGCAGTCGCGGCGAGAGGTCAACCTCGATTGTCGTTTTCGTGAGTCTCCATCCTACTGTCCGCAACTGGCCGGCTTCTGCGTATGTCTCAATGCCTCGGGGCGCTGCCCCTTGCTTTTGCTCCTGTCTGCTGTGCTCCTAGCTGCTGAACGCTCTTGTATCAATGCAACAGTGCGGCCATTGCATCGATCCTGCCTCGTTGCCTCGACCAAAGTGTAACCTGATGTACAATTTGAGATTCTGCTCATCGATGCAAGTATCACGACGCAAACGATTTCCCGGATCATCGATGGCAGTGGAAGTCAGTGAACAATTGGAGCTTCGGCTCACGAGCATCGACCGGCTTCGCGAATGTGGGAACGAGGTCGCTGTTCGTGAAGTCCAGTAGTATATTCCTTCTTCCCTGTTGATGAGGCTTGCACCGGCCAATATTGTGTCGACCACTAAGCAAACATTCGTCGATACGTGATGCTGGAGCGGACGCAGTGAAGTGTCGGAAGTAACGCGAGCTCATCATGAGCGGTCATCGCCTAAGACCGTGGGTGTGCAACAGCAGCCTTGTCGAAGCGTTGTGCAGGCTATGGGGTGTCCGACGCCTCTCATCTCGTCCATCCACATATCTCTGAGGCCATCAACTGATACTGCATCGTATTCTCCAAACCCGCCCAGAGTTCTGAACTTATCAAGGAACTTCGTCGGGCAAGAGTCGACTCGCACGTTTGAGAAGCCACGCCGATTCGATTCGTTGGTGAGGTGTGGAAATGGAGAGGGCGAGTGCTGGTGCGGCTTTGTGTGTTTGGCCAACGAATGCTACCGTGAAAGGTCAAGGGGTTGACGAGCATTCGATAGGCGCTTGTCCTTTTGCCATGTCTATCGAGCCGTCAGTGTCGCGCTGCAAGACCTGCTTTCTTGTCATCAGCTATGTGCAGCACCGGCGAGTGCTGGCTGGTGATCTTCTTGCTGGAAAGCAGTGTATCATATTCTAAATAGCAGTGAGATCGTTCTTGGTAGCATCCATCCGGATGGTGTGACAATGCTTGAGTTGGTGTTGATGCATCGAAACGTGATCTGGACAAAGCAACTGAAGTCGATTCCTGCGGATCTGTTTGCAAGCCAGCAGCTGCCCTTTCGCTCCGCTTGACATCCTCGCAACTGGTGCTAGCTCTTTCTCGTGTGCCCCAGCAATGGGACCATCGAGGAACTCTCTTGCACTTCTTCGATTTGTCCCTTTCCCAACACCATCAAAGCCTTGCCATCGACTGCCCAGCAACAGCAAGAGCAGTCTCATGGGAGACGAGAGCCACTGGACACGAGACAGAGACTGCCGGACATGACCTGCCGCAGCTGGACGCGTTCTGCGCCCTGCTTTGGGGCAAGCCCGTCTGCCGTTGCTAGGTCGTCATTCAACCTTCTTCTGCTTCCTCCTCCTCTGCTCTTCCATCTCCAGACGTGCCGCCTTTCTCACCTGTCCCACACCCACAACACCGATCCACCATGAGATCACGGTCACACAACGCACAAGCTGGCTGGCCGGCTGGCAGACGGCTAGACCAAGGACGATCGTATGTGCCTCCAGGGCCATTGGCTGCCTCGATCAGCGGAAGAGACGCCCGACTCGTCAGTGGTCTGTACGCCCACTACAACATGCAGCACTTGCTAATGCCAGCGCAGAGCCCACAGCTTCAACAGAACCCTTCGCCGCCCGAGTAGGGCATCGCACGCCTCGGTCGCCGCGCCCACAAACAGTGCAACCATGGATGGATCCCTGGACGAGGTTTTCGTCAAGGAAGAGATGGAGCTTGTTGAGGGCGCTGCTGGACGAGGAGTCCGAAGACTACTGCAAGGGTGGCTACCACCCTGTGCAAGTAGGCAGGGACACTGGCGCTGGACGGGGATTCCGAAGACTACTGCAAGGGTGGTTACCACCCTGTGCAAGTAGGCGAGGACGCTGGTGCTGGCCTCACCACCGACAGCCGACACCTCAGCCCTCATATCGCTGGCGAACGTTCTGGCGTCGATCGGAGGTCATCTCAAGGGTGTTGGGTGACGGCGCTGAGTGACGAGACCCACCACCAGAAGAACACCGTCCACCAACGGCTGCGGGCGAAGTCGTCGTCGCTGCAAGTCGACAAGCGAATTGCTTCTCAACTCGGGCAAGCTAGTCATGTTCTCCATCATGCCCACGAGCAGCGATTGTAAACAGCCATGGAAAGCAGCATTCTCATTCTCGCCCCAGCTCAGTCTACCAGGCTCCGAAGTTGGGAAGTGACCAGCATTGTCAGCAGTCGCTCCGGTACCAGCGTCTGGGCTGTTCCCGCGATTGCCGTGGACTCCCAACTCAAGCCCATAAAAGGAGAAGACTCCTCGCCTCGACTGCCTATACGACCCAATCCTCAGTAACAGCCAATGCTGTGCGACCAAGAATTTCCAGACCTTTCTGAACGGACCGTCACCAGCCATCACCACAGCCGATTACCCAAGGAAGATCGCCGCTCTGCATTGTCGGTCTTGTCGGAGCTTCATCAAGCAGGGCACCCTTCTTCTGCACCAGAATCTGCCATCTTACTGCATGAACCGTTCTCACGACTAGGTACCAGATCAGCTGGCTCGCCGGACCATGACCCGTCTTCTCCATCGACCTTTGAGCAATAGTGGGGTTGACAGCGCCATGGAGGACCGTCGAGGATTCTGGGATTGACATTGGTACACCGCATGCAGGCCAGCAAGCTACATATGCACCGATCAAGACCTGACCTTTGACCCCTTCTCATGATGATATCAGCATTGTCCTGCCAAAATTGCGGGTTTGTACTTACCTTTCTTTGCTCAGCAAACCCTATGTTCTCTGCATTCCCCCCTTTTTCTTTTCCTCGCTCGATTTTATAGAAGATCACTTCAAGCAAGATTAACACTCCCCGTAAAGGCTTGCGACCTCTAGAACACAAACGATACCTGCTGTCCAAGTCGTGTCGCACAATGAAATGAGAAGAAAAGCAAACGGAAACCACGGGCGGATCATACGTCAACGCCATGAACAGCAAGATCCAGCTTCATTGCGACCTGCAGCAACGCGCGAGTTCGGACCTTGTGTGAATCGAAAAAGAGAAGGACGAGCTTACGCAGCAGTAGATCTTCAGCACGACGCTGGCATCGCGGCTGGCGCGGCATGAATGCATAGCAGAGGCTCAAGGCCAGCCTTCCTACTTCAGCTCGTGCTGTGAGTATAACAAGAAGACAAAGGGACGATCCTCGTCCTATCATCAGGTTGAGGTGGCATCGCTTCAGCAGCGGCAGGATGTCAAAATGACAATCCAGAACGGAGAGCGATACTCTTAGTCTTCAGCTTCTGCTGGCATCGCTTCCGAAGCGGCTGTGTGCGAAGAGAGAAGAGCTTGATGAGGAGGTAGCCATACGCTGACAGAAGCAGAGTGTATGGGGAGCAAGATGCCTGAGCAAGCCGCCGGTATACCATCCTGCTCGCTTTCCCCTGTCGAGTGATCCTGTACACAAGGATACTGGCTTCCGGATCTGCCATGTCCCCGCCTTTGCTGTCCAGACCGAGCATGGCGCTGGTACTTGGCTCGGAAGTGCATTGTCGCTGGAAAGGCGGATCGGCGGTACCTTGACGTTTACTGTTCATCGCCCTGGCCTTGCCATGTTGTTACCCGCAGCCCGGCCTCGGAGGGATTGTCGACTGGTACGTTTCTACCAGAGATTTTGGGACCACGACGGGAACAGCACAGAGGCAAACCTCTTGCAGCTTGCATTACAGAGTTGCTTGACCACTACCGTCTCGTAAGGCGAAGGCGAAGGAGCCGGTAATAAGCCATGCTTGTGTAGGAAATGCCGCCGCCTGCCCGAACTGCGGCATCCTCAGAGCCCTCTCTTATCGCCTGCAACGATGCAACTCTGGAAAACTCACATCTATACCGATATGCGCAGACGACCGGGGTGCTGTGCAGCTTTAGGCCTTCTCGCACATCCTCATGACACGAGGTCGGAGGGTGCGCTCCATTGCCGACTCCCCGCCACCCGTCGACAGAATGGCGCACAAGCGGATCACGCAGGACCGAGACCGTGTAATGGCGATGCTTACCATGCTGGCAGCGTAGTCGCGGCATGCTAGACGTGTCGGTGGTGGTGGAAGGCTGGCGGAGCTATGGCTGGCCCAGGCTGGGTCGGTGGGTGCTGGCGGTGGAACTTGATCGGATCATGGCCAAATGCTAACGCGGCGGAGGAT